CCCAATACTTAAACCCTTCATCATAAGCACCAATAGAGAAAAAGAAATCTTTATTTGCTGCAAATAAACCCCCAGCCATTGCTGGTGATGTCTGAAAGTCTGTAGGGCCGTGCTGCTGCTGCTCACGAGGCAGCCGCTGCATCTGGTGAGATTCATATGAATGCTCCATCAGCTGCCATAGGAAACCTAGTTTACACCCAATACCCCCGGCTATATGTTCAAATGTTTCTGCATCAATACCATCAACTTGAGGCATTACTATACGACGATGGTCCTCTTGAATACGAGCAACCAGTGGCTCTAACCACTGGTCCTGTACTTCTATATGGCTATCTAATACTACAAATATAGGCGCTGTTGCAGCACGAATAGCACGAAGACGTGCACCCACAATACCCTCACGACGGGGGCTACGCACCAAACGAACCTTAGGAAGTAATTCAATATATTGCTGCAGCTTTCCGTTTCCTTTTGCTGCTACATCTGGCAGGTTGCTGCCGTCGTCCAGCAGCACCACCTCATGCAGCAGAGAAGGTGGTGTTCTGTTCAATACACTGTGTACAGACCGCATCAATGTAGAGAACGGCTCGTTATAAAATACCATCAATACAGATGCTGCAGGCAAAGAAGATAAATCATACTGCAACGTCTTGCATGCACTGTGACGCGAATCAGGAGCAGCACGATCAAGAGGTAAATGATCGCTCAACTGTAAGTTGAAACCGCCGCCCCGCGCCAACTCCGCCGGCATATGCAGGTCCTGTACATACACCCCAAATACATATATTGAAAGAGAACGCAATGAATGTCTCCTGCAGTGCACTATCACCCACACACTGTCTAGAGAGAAAGCTGCACCTACGGTGTATGCTCGGACACTGTATGCGTTCTGAAGCAATCCGAGCTGCACAAGGACTCTCTCCAGCATTCAAATGCAAACTGAATTGCAGCTGTTCTGTAGAAAAGGCAACAGAACTCACCGGAGGGGGGGGTGGGGCGGGCACGTGAGCCGGCGTTCCGTCTGGGTTGAGGCCGAGGGGCCCATGCATCCTTTGGGGGTCGAAGGTGCCGTGTATGACATTCGAATTTCCTCCAGCAATAGAGGGATTGGGGAATTTCTGCTGCTGCACTGCAGCAGAGAAGTCCGCAACGGGCTCACCATCGGCCGTCAGCTGCACGCCAGGCAGCACGTAGCGCGTGATCAACACCGCGTTCAAGAGAATTGAACCAAACCCCAAAGCCATCACCGTCAGCTGCAAACAGCCCCAAAGAGGCCGCCTCCAGTCGGAGGAATGCATGTGGCTTTCCACCATGGCGGCACCAACCCTTTTATATACTGAAACCTAAGTCCCAGACGCAGGAGAGAGAGGCGATCGGGAACCTCGCAGCAATCTATTCACGAATAAGAATGACTCAAGCACTGAACTCACTACACAGTTGCTTGAAATGCATGAGAAAGCTGTGAAGAGCGGCCAAAGGCCGCCCAAGTTGAACGAACCGCTGGCCGATCCCAGNGCATGAGAAAGCTGTGAAGAGCGGCCAAAGGCCGCCCAAGTTGAACGAACCGCTGGCCGATCCCAGCGGGAGTTTTCTATGCTGTTGTAGCCATGAAATCTGGCGTTAACTTGAAACAACTGGACTTAAAAAGGTAAAACTAAATGAAATACCACTCCTTAAAAACTGTTGGGAGGGAGAAATAAGTAGACGTCCCGCTTGGACGCTCGAGCAGGCGGACTGAGCACGGAGGATACCTGCCGGCTCTGCTCAGCCGCTTAGGCGCGGGGGGCAAACAACAAGGAGCCTTCTATCCCATTAAATATAATTTCAGCTCTTAAAATATCTCCATTTTAGCATTTTCCTGCTTGGTTCAACCTTACATTCATGGGAACACACACTACGCCCTGCCGCTGCCGACACGCATACGCGCATGCAACCCGTCGCAGCCCCAGCGCATCGAATCTATTTTTTAAAGGCAAAACCCGTTCTGAATTACTTGCATTAACAAATGACGGAATAAAAAAGTCGGGATAAAGGCAGTTATACAG